TGACATATTTCAAAATTAAAATATTAACTTTTCAATATATGTTCAAGGCAAATATCAAAATATAAGTATGTAATTTCATACGATGTATAGTTTAATTAAAATGATATTAAATATATATAAACTAAAATTATTTCTTCATATGGTCTTATAATCATTATATTTTAGTATAGAAAAAAAAATTAAAACCTTGATCTTAAAACTTTATGTGGGACTTTTAACAGTTTTAGTAATTTATACTCATTTTGAAAAATTCGAAATACAACATACACAAAAAAAAATCTATATTTTAATTATATGATTAATGTAATTTTGTAATTTATTTTAATAATAAAGAAATAAACAAAATGAAAAAAAAAGTATACAGATTGTTATCAAATCTTTAAGTTTAAAATCATTAATTGTCATATATATATATTTTGATCACATTAGGTAATTCCGTAGGTTTTATTTAAGGAAAGCATGCGAAACAATAAATATTTGATATATGCGACCAACTATAGCCTACGGAATATTATATTGCTAGAGAATATAATTTTTAAACTATACATTATATCACATGCTCTAGAATCCTTGGAATTTGAAATAGAAGCCAAAGAGCTATGCCACGTAGGATTGGAGTTATTTGTAATTCTTACAAACTTAAGGTTACAACTTTTTAAATGATTCTCAAATAATATATAGGGGATACTAGTATGGGTTATATGCAAACTATATAACATAAGTAATAGTACTTATATTTATTTCTTTTATTAATATAATCTTGATTGTGAAATACTTTCTGGGTGTTGAAGTTTTACAAGATGAATGAGGGAGCTTTACCACTCAAAAGAAGTATGCAGAAGATGTCCTAATGAAGTTTGAGATGAGTGATTGCCACTAGGTGAAAAACCTTAAGATACCCAGACAGAAACTGAGCAAAAGGGGCTGTAAGTGTTAAACATTATGACAAATGTAGTGAAACTTTAAGTTTTGAGAAGCTATCCTAATAGTATGCACGAGAGAAAAGTAGAAAGGAAAGAAACCTTTCTAGGGTAGGAAATGAAGAATAAATTAGCTAAGCTTTAGTGTCGTGTCTAATTTCATAAGTTGTTTCTGAGTCTTAGAGATTGGGTAGTTGTTCTCCTGATTTGTAGAAAACAATTAATCATAGCTTGAGAGGTGGTGGTTTTATTGTAAGCAAATCAAGTCTATATATGGCTTGAAGTATTTTTGAATAAAGTTGCAAAGAAGTTTTTCAGAAAACCAGTTTTAGTCATTCTTACAGAATTTGGTAACATAACCGAAAGTCTCAAACCCTACTCGGTACAGAAGCTACTGCTTATGTTCGGAAAACCTATGAGATTACCCTCCTCATGTCTCAAACACTAAGCTTAGGGCAGAAATCTAAACTCACAAAAGGAGAAGTAAACTCATCGAAACAAGCCATCCTGATACGCTCCGGAGTGGCAGGAGTGTCCAAAGGGAACCATTTGCTGCCAAGACCCATCTCTTCTCTAGCCGCTTTGATCGCATCTTTAATCGCAAAGAAAACCGACGATGCCAGGAAAAACGGAGGCTCACCAACCGCTTTTGATGAGTGTATCCCCCTTGAATTTGGATGCCCCTAATGAAAACATATCTTGGGTCAGTTTCTTGACTTGCAAGTAAAGTAAACAACGCTTTGGTTGGTGTGTTGCATATATATATACCTTAAGAAGAGAAACGTTGAAGTTGAAGGGAATGTCGTTAATGGAAGGTATCTTGTAGTTTCCTGGTCCACAAGTGAGTAGATTCCCCGGTTTGATCCATTTATGAGCTGCATCTCCCCATTTGAGTTCCTCAAGAACTACCCAACCTAACCCTTGAACGAATGCTCCTTCTATCTGCAACATGATTTTCAGAGTTCAGACACAAAGACAAACACTCTTTTTCTTATGGTTTTGTTTTTCAAAAAGAAGAGATGAGTACTTGTCCAATATCAATGGCTGGGTTAAGAGAATATCCAAGGTCCAACTTTACATCGACTGTTCTTGTGTGAAAGTCACCAGTTAATGTATCGATCTCAACTTCCGCAAATGCAGCTCCATAGGTGTAATATCTGAATGTGTTTGCTTCCTCAGGGGTCCAGTAAAAACCATGAGCAGAAAGGTCTATTCGTTGGGAATAGCATGCGCTTGCCAGCTAACATCAGTCATCAGTCAAAACGAAAGAGAGTGTTATTCAGCAAAAATGCAAAGAGAATGTTTCATGGATTCAAACAAAAGCTACCTCAGCAAAAGATTTGAAACTGAGCTTAGAGGCAACATGCTCCATTCGTGCTTTAATCTGCTCACAAGCGTCCAAAACCGCAGGACCGTACATGTCAGAGCTTATAGAAGCAGAAGTTGGTGACGCATTTGGAACCTATCAAAAGAGAATTTTGAGTACATCTCAACACTTTACCTTTGATAATGTATTTATGAATGTACCTTGTCGGTGCTTGTCTCTGACACAAAAACAGAACTAAGGGGAATGTTAAAGGCAGACGCAGCAACTTGAGCAACCTTTGTATGCAATCCTTGACCCATCTCTACACCTCCATGTGTCACCAATACAGTACCGTCTGTGTAAACATGAACAAGAGCACCAGCCTAACACCCGCAAAATCAAAAAAAGATTAAATATACAAAAACTCTATTTCTTGCTTCTCAAGAAATGGTAGTGCAAGGCGGAACTATACAACTAAAAATCTGACTAACAAAAACCTATAAAAGAAAAACAAAACTTACCTGGTTCGTGCACACTTTGGTATATGCTACGCCAAACTTTGAGGGAACCATAGCCACACCACGCTTTTTCCACCGGTTTAGGCTATTAAACTCGTCGACTTCTCTACGAGCCTGTAGAAAGTTGCAAGACATTTTGAGCTCCTTCCAGAGCTGGTGCAGTGTGCAATGCTCAAGACACTGAGAGTAATGTGTGATAGAGCCTTCGACTTGAAAGTTCATCTCCTAACGTAACACTCAAGAAAAAGCATCAAAAACATGAGCAACAATTCCTACAAACTGAAGTTTTGGTTTTGTAAAAACATTCAACTCACTTTGATCTCTTCAGGGCTTCTATCAAGTTCAGCTGCGATTCTATGGATCCAGTTTTCAGTTATAAGCATGCCTTGGGGAGCTCCAAAGCCCCGAAATGCAGTGTTGCTAGGATAATTTGTAAAGCAAACGTTTCCTCTGATCCTCACATGTGGGATCTCATAAACATTATCCGAGTGAAACATGGCATTTTGAAGAACATATGAGGAAAGATCCAAAGTGTTCCCACCATTGTTGTAGATTTCAAGATCATAAGCCAATATTTTCCCTTCATTTGTAAACCCAACCTGTAAATGGTAGCAGAATAACAATTAAAAAGAAAATGTTTTGTTTGTCAAAACAAATCTACTAACCAAAGAGTATGATTGATACCTTGTACTTTCCAACAAAACTATGACGGTGACCAGATATCATCATGTCCACATCTCTGTCCAGTATGAGTTTCACGGGTCGGTTCAATAGGTAGGCCGGAACAGAAGCAGCAGCAGCTATGAAGGCTGATCTCGTTTCCTTACCACCAAAGCCACCACCAACTCGTTTTGTTTTGCAAACCACTTTAGACATTTGAAGACCGAGAACATGGGAAATAATCAGCTGGTGCCTATGAGGATCCTACATATATAAATCAGAACAACCAATATTACTCAAGCAGCAGAAACACCACTTTCATTTAAAAAAAGTAGATAGTTAGTTGATACAACCTACATAGACCTTAGGGCTATCTACTGGTAAATGATGTTGTAGATGCTAAATAGTAACGTATGCTTACTTGAGTGGATGAGAGCATATGAACTTCGTTTCCTCCATCAGCGGTCCAAACCAAACTACCATGAGGCTCCATGTAGAAGTGTTCCTGGCCACCCATTTGAACCTCTCCCTCTATTATCCTATCACACTGTCCCGACTCAAAGCATAGCTCCACATCTCCTTTTCTTTGCATTTTCTCTGTGTTTGGGTGGAAACTTTTAGCAGCAATTGCCTCCCTGATTGACAGTATTGCTGGCAATTCTTCATACTCAACTTTAACTTTTCCTGCCGCAGCTTTTGCATTTTCATGTGTATTCGCAACAATCACACCAATGACCTGCACGGGCCATACGCGATTAAGGCCATGTTGTTTTTTGTATTTGATGCTATATTCGACTTCTCGATGCATGTTCATTTTTATAGTTAATATTTGCATACAGATGCAACATTTTGATATTAATTTTTTTTTGTATTTATTGTATTTGAATAATAGTTTTAAAAAAGATTAAAAGGGCATGGTTTTTATTTATAATAAGAAACTGATTACAATATTCAAATAGATATATTTAAAATTAATTTTGTATCTTTGCGGCAAATGCAATTGTGAGGATTTTGATGGGAAAATTAATTTTGCAATTTTGACAGAACACACATTTTGCAGATTTGGCAAAAAAAAAATACGATTTTATGGATTTGGTGAAAAACATGATTTTTATGGGAACTGCACTTTTTTATTTTTTATGGGAAATTGCGATTTTTCAAATTTGATGGGAAATTACAACTTTTCAATTTTGATGAGAAATTACGATTTTTTGGTTTTTACGAAAAACACGATTTTTGGTTTTGACAAAAAACCATAATTTTCGTAAAAATATTTTATAATATTATAACAACTAATTTACTTAGTTTTTATATTTGTATTAAATGTATTTCGGTCATCTAGATTTTGCGATTTTGAGATGCAAATGTAACCTTCAAACTCTACATTTTTCGTATTTAAATATCTAAATATTCTAGATATCATAGATTTTGCATAATAAATATTCTAGATATCATAGATTTTGCATCTAGAATTGATGTAATCGTGTCCAAACGAACTATAAATTTTCATTACACTTCATTTATTGTTTTTTCTCTAAATGATCACTTCATTTATGCTATTCACATAATTTATTCTCTTGTCTAAATATGAAATTGGGATAAATTCGGTTTTGATGTAGAGAAATATTAATATATCCAAAAACTAATGTCGCCAAAGATTCAGATAGTTGTACGAAAATAATCATATTAAATATTAACCGATTTGGTTCGGGTATTTGAATCCAAACCAAAATAACCTAAAAATAAATAATAAAAATAACCATATTATCTGATTTGATTCAGATTAGATTTTGATGTATAACATCTTAAAAATATTCAATTAATTATATAATAACACATAAAATATATAACATTAATTATTAAATATAAAATATTAATTTATTAAAACATAAATTTAACACCATCAATCTTTAGTTGGCATAATATGCAATGACTAGATACAAAAACCAAACAAAGCCTAAATGAAAAACTAAGAAACTGTTTCAATGTTTTTGTTCTTACTTGTCCCACACACGTGACCACATCTGTAGCAAACAGTTCTTCATCCGCTTCAATCATATTATCTGCTGGAACATCTTTGGCAAGAAAAAGACCAGCAAAACCAGGTGAAGATCTGGATTCCGAGTCATCAATAGAAAGTATGCGGGCATGTGGCAATTTGCTTAGCACTAAGGCAGCATGCAAGGTATTAGGAGGCACTGGGGCGTCATCAGTATATTCCGCTTTCCCTGTGACCTACATGAATATATATATTCAAAAGTTTTTAGACATTATATTATGCCGGTAGCAACAACTTTACTTACACTTAAGCATCTTTCTCTAGTCCAATCTTACATCAAAAAAATAATATCAATGACAATATAAACATGTTACAAAATACCTGCATTCTTGCTGAAAGATGGACTTCCGGCAAGCCAACAGCTGTTCCATGTTTCACCGTCTCATAGTCTTGTCTCCCAACTCTACATGGCCGAGTAAAAGATTCCACAGCTGACATATGAGAGGATGGGAAGGTCTCCATGGTTGGCTTTACATCACTTATATGATGAGAAACCCATAAGAAAAACTTGAAGAAGAAGCTTAGGGTTAGAGATTTCCGAAACTCCACCATGCCACCAGGAGCGTCTTTATCAATCAAAACATCACTTTGTATAACCTTTAACGCATCTTGAAGAAGACTTTTGTTCCAGCTCTTACCAATTAGAAACTCTTCAGTCTTTCGTGCGCATAAAGAAACTGGAGCCACACCACCAAAAGCAATTGATGCTTCACACACAAACACTTCTTTATTTTCACCTCTCTCTTCAAGAAACACACGCATTCCTCCATTCACAATAGCTATATCATCGTCCCTACGGTGGGACTGTTTAAACTCTTTCACATACTCCAGTGGCCTTGTCCATGGTAGGAACACTGACAACAAGATCTCGTTGCTCTCCATGTCTACTTTGCGGTAACCACGGAAGAAACCCTTTGCAGGTATGGACCTAACATCTCCACTGCAGCAGTTGATTATCCGGAACTCTGCTCTTGAAGCCATCCAAAGAGGGTTTAAATCAGATATCGGACTAGCTGTACAGATGTTTCCACCAATGGAAGCAACATTTCTTATTTGTGTCCCAGCAAACCACTTGAGCTGTTCAATAAAAGCCTTGCAAGCTGATGTTTCATGTGCAGGACGCTCCTTTACAACCTTCCTGAATAGTCTCAGGAGTTGAGAAAGTCTCAAAGAAGAACCAAACTCTACCCCACTATCATTGACAACCACTGTGTTGAGTTCCGGGACTTGACCAACAGAGATTAGCACCTTATACTGTAACCTCTTCAGTCTCATTTCAATTCCCACTTCAGTATTACCTACTACTAGTTTTGCATCAGGATGTTTTGTCTTAAGATCAAGCAAGTGGTCAAGTCTTACGGCTCTGTACCAGATAAGCCCTCTATTTCCACTTAACTTCAGAGGAGGGAACTTCCTCAGTAAAAGTTCAGGAGGGAAAATAAGCTCCTTCTCTGTATACTTAGACCCATCTGTCTCACTAGGCTGCTGAAATCTGACATCACCACATGAACAAGGTTTACCAGTAGATGGGCAAATACTTGAACCATCTTGAAGGCTAAGTGAAGATAAACCACTGTATAGGGCGTCATTAGTTTTTGCGAAAACCCGAAAGGCGTCAACAATGGGTCTGTAACCAGTACAACGACATAGATTTCCTGCAAGACATTCTTCAATCTCCTCTTCACTAGGTGGGTTTTTATTCAACCTCAGTAACGCATACATGGACATGATAAACCCGGGAGTACAAAACCCACATTGGGAACCATGAGAAGATGCCAATGACTCCTGCAAGAGAGGATAAAGGATCACATCAGGAGGAGGACATAGATTCTCTCCAGGAACTAGAACCATAAAAAAAGAAACACCATCTACCTGAAGTGGGTGCAAGCCATGTTTGCGATGACCAACTCCTTCAATGGATATTACATGCATTCCTTCCACAGAATAGAGAGGTGCTAAACAAGCGTTGACCGCATAGTGCCTGCAATTCCAACCGTTGTAGAAAGAATCAACAAGAATCTAAAAAAACAAGAACTAAGATATACAGAGAGAAGAAACCTACACGCGTTTGTTTGATGTTTTGTCATAATTAGAGACCATCACCGTGCAAGCCCCACAACCACCTTCACCGCACCCCAGCTTTGTCCCGGTCAGTCCTAAATCTTTAGGAAACAAGAAATGCTTTTGTAGAAAACTTAACAACTGTTTTAAGCATAGTCTTACTGAGATGCTTTCATTTTCAAACTGAGAGACCTAAAGATCAAATGGTCAAACATGGTCTCTCGGTTTGAGTACTATTAATCAGAATTTATGTTAAAATCAAAGACCAAAAACATAAGAGTGATGATCATGAATTACCCCAACCTCTAAGATATTCAAGAAGTGTCATATGAGCCAAGCCATCAGGTAACACTCTACGAACACCATTGACGTACAGTATGGCCTCCATTAACTCGTCTCCCATCTCTGCTTCCTTCTCCAATGAACCCATAACTCAAATCTTTGAACTTAAGACAGGACTAAAAACAACAAGAATCAATGATTATACTCAAAGTCAAGCACAAGGAGAGACTATGATGAGAGCATATATTTTTTTATGGCTGAATATAAAACTTGTCTCCCTAGCACACATACACAAAAGAATCCAAAAAAATAAAAATCATAACAGGAGAGAGTACACAATGGCAAAGAACAAGAACTAAACTAGCTTTAAGAATTGCATGGTACTTTTTTACCAGACGAGGCGAGTGAAATTTCGAGAGAGAGAAAGAGATAATCAACTCTCAGGTACTCCTGACCACACAAAGGTCTGAATATAGTATGTATATATGTCGGTTAAATACTTCAGCGATTTAAGTTACAAAAAAAAAAAAATACTTCAACGATTCGACACACATTGACGTGATACGAACGACACCTACAATTCTCCCATGCCATATCATCAGAAGCCATTTGACACCTACAATTCGAAGTCGTGACAACTGGCTACTACTAAAGCTATTTGTTACAAATTTGTAAGAACTGTTACGTTGATTGTATCGCCAACAATTGCCATGGATGTTAAGAGTCCTTAGCTTATTTACTTACTTTGATTGTATCGCCAACATTTCTCCCACGCCATATCATCAAAAGCCATTTGACACCTACAATTCGAACTCGTGAACATTATTATTGATTATCTTTAGTTTTGAGTCCTTAGCTGATTTACTTAATTTTTTACGTTAAAAACAAACTTAAAGGACAATCTAAAAAGAGTTGATTATTGGTAGAATTTTTAATTGTTTCTTAGTAATTTAATTATTTATTTTAATAGAAAATGACATATAAAAGATAAATTTAAAATAAAACATATAACATTAAAATTGAAAACATAAGTAAATCAAAAAGTTTGATAAAAAGAAACTACAAACATCATAAATAAAAGCAAATAAAATTTTTATTCAATTCATAGAAATTTATAAATTATATGTTATTTGGAAGATGTCCAAATTTAATCCATATATTTTATATCAAATCATTTTTAAACTGTTGATGGACTTGTCTATTCCGAACTCTCGTTCGACGATCAATTGGATTGCCGGAATTTGTAGCCAGATTGACGGAAAATGGCGTTCCCACTTTTTCTCCTTGTTGAAATTCTAAATCGTCATACTGAGTGAATGACTCTCATTCATCTTTGACAATTATATTATGGAGTATAATACATACTTTCATAATATTTGCTATTTTGTCTTTATCCCATAACTTAGATGGATTTTTGACAACAGCAAATCTAGCTTGCAGGACTCCAAAGGCATGTTAACATCTTTTCGTACAGCTTCTTGGGTTTTAGCAAATAATAATTTTTTCTCACCTTGTGGTAGTCGGATATATTGAATAAAAGTCACTCATTTCGGATAAATATCATCCGTGAGATAATAAGCCATATTGTACTCCGTTCCGTTGACATAGAAATTGAATTCTGGTGCTACTCTGTTAATAATATCATCAAAAACAGGTGATCGATCAAGAATATTAAGATCGTTCATAGTACCTAGAGGTCCAAAAAGGCGTGCTATATCCAGAGGTCATATGAAGCAACCGCCTCAAACATAATTGTTGGTTTTTCGGTTCCTCGTCAATACATTCCTTTCCAAGCGGTGGGGCAATTCTTCCACTCCCGATGCATACAGTCGATGCTCCCAACCATCCCGGAAAATACATGTTCTTCTCTGATATGTAGTGGTCGTTCCAGATCCTCTGATGTGGGACGTCTTAGGTATTCATCGCCAAACAAGCTGATTATTCCCGCGGTAAATTTGTGCAAACATTTCAAGCTGTTGTTTCAGAAAGTCGGACATATTCGTCAACTGTATCAGCCCACCACCATATGCCAAATGTCGAATTGCTGCAGTAAATTTTTGTAGAGGTGATGGACCTGACCGTCTGGTTGCATCTTCTGTTGGTTGAAAGTACGGTATTTTTGTGGAGAGACGATGCACAATACGCAAGAACAATGATTTGTTCATTCGAAACCGTTGCTGGAATAAACTGGGAGTGTATGTTGGATTTTCGCTAAAATAATCATTTCAAAGCTTGTTGTGGCCCTCTTCCCGGTTTCTCTCTATGAAAATACGTTTTTTTCGCTCTTTTGGTTCTGGAATAGGAGCGTAGTTTTTAAAAAATTCTCAAATGGGGCTTCAAAATCTGCATCATCATCTTTGTGGTAATGGTAATGGGAAGAAGATGCCATTTAAGTGAAAAAAAGGAAAAAATGTTTAAGAACTATGAGAATTTGTTTAACAACTATGAGTAGAAGAGGGGGGAGTTGTGTACTTGTAAACACACGACATTTCTCATATTTATAGCTTAAGAAGTTATGGTACTGATTTTGATGTTAGGAAACTCCCGTGAGTTATAAATCTCAAAAGATACTCCCGTGAGTTTAAACACACGACATTTCTTGTTCAGCTTGTGATAATCGTTTGTTTTGTTGTCGAAGAAAAAGACAAATTCATGTGATCTTTTGGTGGTAAATCTGAAAAGAAACAAAGACATGTGATCTTTAGTTGTACTAGTTTATTCCCTTGGTAATACTTGACTCATGTTCCAACAGTGAGTAGAAGTTCAAATCCCCATTCATATGATAAGATAACATAAGTACAATGGCTAGAACAATCGTAATCATAACAAATCATATTGAACTTCACATATGTCTCCTTGTTCAAATGCTACTTAAACACCTAATACTATACATAGTTCATACTTAAACAAAAGAAACAAATGCATACATATGAGCTGCGGTTACTTAAACAAGAGGACCATGGCTATTATCACTAACACAACAACCATAACACCTACAACGAGTTCAAAGCCATTCCCAAACCTAGAATCTTTTTTAGCTAAGTCACACACAATTCTCTCAAGCCTAACCAACTTTTGCTCCGTCTCGTAATGCAGATCCTTTACCTAGTTAAGATGCGTTTCGTAGTCACTGTTGGGCCCGAATTTAGCCCGTTAGCTGAATTAATGGGCCGAATAGTAGAAACCGTTTGTAAAGCATTACGAGCTCATCAGGAAGCTTCCCCTCAAATGAGGACCACATGAAACCGTTACCTATCGGTGAAAACAGGTCACGAACAAAAGACTCGGGACCTCATTTTCAAAACAGTTAGCAAGAAACAGCTCCGGA